TTTGAGTGAAGGTGTGAAAGTAGGCAGTTGCACATTTGAGTCTGGGACGTAGAGGTCTGTAACAAAGACACAATTTAGAAAATCATTGACATGTAACAGTAGATGATATTTAAAGCCATTACCAAGGGAGTGAGAAGGAGTAAAGAAGGGATCTGAGGACTGAGCCCTGAGGTCAGTACTGGGTGAGTACTGACCCAGGAGAGTACTGGGTGAAGTACTAAGTACTGGGTGAAGGTGAATATCACAAAATCACGCAGCACAGGTGCAAATGGGGCTTTACTAGAAAAACTTGTTGGCAGAGGGTCAGCCATTGAATGAGGCATTGGGTTGTCCATCCAACCTCTTGTCATCATGTGGAGAGAGATATGGGGGCCAGGGCATAGCTGGAAACATCCTGGAATGTGCTCCAGGAGAGGGACCCCTCATTCCCTTCACTACTTTTTTTTGGCAAATGTGAGGTTAGTCTTGCTAGTAAAGAAGACTTGGTCTGAGCTCAGGTACCAGGGGAATTGTTTGCAGTGCTGAGGGCCCCTGGAGACCCCAGGGGAAATAGAGACCATGTGGAATCATTTCTGCTTTGGGAAGGGAGGCCCCTCTGGAGCCCACCTGCTATCTCACTGCTAGGAACCTGGAGTGAGTACCCAGGGTCTTCCAGTAAAGTCCAAATTGTTTTTCCAAGGTCCACCCCCGATCTAGGGGCTCCTGAAATATAAGCCTGCCAAACGGGCATAGAAATCAACAAGGGGAGAAATCAGCTGAGCTTATAAGGTACTTCCAATGGTGTTGGCAATGCTGGAGGAGACATTAATGCTAGAGGGAGGCCTGGAGTAATAGTACAAAGCCCATTGTGGAGGCCTGAGCCACCTGGCCATGGAGTCTGTGCGAAGCCTGGGGAGAGAGCCCCAGGTTCAGATGGAGGAGTGGTCTGCAGGCATTGGACTTGCTCCTACAGGAGCTGCATGAGCTTCTTGACTTGTCTGAAGGTGTTAACCCAGAAGCAGCAGGAGATATTGGCCAGTGAGTATGGTTATTCCCCTGGTTGGCCAGCAAATAGTCCAAAGCTATGTGGTTATATCCTGAGCTAAGGATTCATGATAACCTTGACAGTGAGAACCCTGGCTATGCCCATAGTAATTTCCTTTCTATGGTTCCACCTATTTAGGGGAGGAAAACCTGCATAAAGTAGGGAAACCCATGTACTTAATACCCAGGAGTGTCTTGTCAATGGTACCAGAGGCTGGTGCTGGGAATGTTGCCTTGCCCACAGATCTTGGGTTATTATGAAGGTTGATATGCAGGTGGCATTATGTCCAAGGAGAAAGCAAGGAAGGACCTATATCTAGAATACAAAGCAGTTTTGGGGTTACAAAGCGCACTGCTCAATATTCTTCCAGCTGGCCTCAACATTATCCATGAAGAGGATGAGAACGTGATTGTGAAGGCCCAAGGCACAGCAGCTGGGAGCAATGTCCTTGCCATTGTCAGAGAGTGAGATGCCAGTAAGGTCTCCCATAGCTGGGCATGGTGGGAGGGGGTAGGAATGGTATATTCAGTACTGTGACAGGTTCATGCCACGGGCCCTGGCCTGAGCAGCTTCTCAAGGCTGTTTAGCATTGCCTGTTCAGATCTGGAAGAAAAGGAGAGAGGTTATTTACCCCTCCACCCCAGTCTATTTCCTGAGATTGCTTGCCTATGTTCTTGCTAGATTTGCTGGGATCTGTCGTGTGCCTGGGATGAGCTAGTTGATCTGTCCTTTCTCAGAACATTTACTTCCATAGGAACCCAGGAGTCACCATACTGCCTGACACATCAGAGCGACTTGTTCCCCTCTTAGGTGCCCACAGAGGATGAGGGAGTGGCTAAGGTAATTGCTCCTTGAGCCAACCATGCCAAGTCTCATTTGTATCCACCACCTGCAGGTGGCAAGTGTGGAAGAGCAAGCAAATTCCACGTGGACAGGTGGAGGGCAGTGCCGTAAAGATAATTCCATCATCATATTATATCATACCTGGGAATTCCAGCACATGAAAAAGATGCTCATCAGAGCCTTACGAGTCTAGGTTCACCTGCTTGGTGGAAGAGAACAGTCACCCCATGTACCTAAACATGTTCATGGTAGTCAGAATCCATGGCAATTGTGAACTAGTCAGATCCAAAGGTCATTGTGCCACTTTGAGCCACCTTGAGCCACAGGCCAACTTTCCTGGCAAGTAATACACATTCCATGAGCACCAGTGACTTCATAGGTCAAATGAGTCCTCACTGGACTCCCTCAAACCGCCATGGTAGTTTCACTGTTGTGATAGGTCCAGGCGTGCATCTAGTGAACTAAAGTGGTTATGATGGCCACATAGTCTTAATCAGCTTTTTCATTTCAGATGCTCTCTTCAAGATGCAGTGCCTTACTGTAGGCTCATTCATATGTCACATATAGATCGAGTTTGTGGCTGAATTGTTGTATCCATCTCCACAGCAGGGGTTACCATATGGGCATGCTCCTAGTGGTCCCGTTTTGGGTGGTCCAAAGGCCTGGCCATACAGCAAGACCATTAGCAACGGCCCATGAAGCTGTGTAAAAGGGACTATTTACAAAGGTGTGGGCAGGCTATAGGGAACCCACAAGTGTTGTGCAGTACCCCTGGACTGGTAACTGGGGCAATGCTACTGCCCTTGGGCCAAAAGGGAACTGGAAGAAGGTCTTGTGGAGAGAGCCTCCTCTGTGATGACCCAGCCAGCCTTAAACCAGCCCAAGGCAACCCCACAAGAGGCATAAGCATCCCAACCTCCTCCTTCCCTCTCATCCTCTGCCAGGGATCCCTGTCGGCCAAACTCAACAGGAAGCCACAGGGTAAAGGAACCTGATGATGCAGGTTGGCCCCCTGGCAGAAAAGGCAGAAGGATGGAGAGTGGGCCTGGATGGCGAGTAGAAGATACAACACACAAGGGAGGGTTGCGATTTTAGATAGGGCAGTCACAGGAGTCCTCACTAGGAAGGGATCATTTGAGCAAAGACCTGAAGAAGTGTCGTAACTCATCAAATCCTCACAGCAATTGATAAGGCCATTTTATAGTTGAGGAAACTGAGGTACAGCACTCAGTTTATTCATCATCCAAGATCACACAGCTAAGAGCTGATAGAGTTGGGATCTAAAGCCAGGGAGTTTAGCTCCAGGTATCCTGCTCTAAACAAAATAGGATATAGAAAAATCATCATAAAATGAAAGGGCAGAGAAAATGTCAGGACATATAAGACTGTGATTGACAGTCATAGATGTTATTTATTGAGCGCTGACTGTATACGAGCCACTGTGTTAGGTGCTATGAGGGGGATATAGAGATGAACAAGATGCTGTGTTTGGGTTTCCCTGGTGGCACAGTAGTTAAGAATCCGCTTGCCAATGCAGGGGACACGGGTTCAAGCCCTGGTCTGGGAAGATCCCCCATGCCACGGAGCAACTAACCCCATGCACCAAAACTACTGAGCCTGTGTGCCACAACTAATGAAGCCCGTGCACGTAGAGCCCGTGCTGCACAACAAGAGAAGCCACCGCAATGAGAAGCACATGCACTGCAACAAACAGCAGCCCCTGCTCACCACAACTAGAGAAAGCCTGCGCGCAGCAACAAAGACCCAACGCAGCCAAAAATAAATAAATTTATTTATTTAAAAAAAAAGATGCTGTGCTTGCCCTCAAAGAGTCTATAATCTAGTTGGAGAGTGGGGAGGGAGTATAGAAACATTTACAAACCAAATCCCAGCAGATCGTCATACATTCTATCACAGAATTACAGATAAAATGCTGGGAGACCACTAAGAAAAGAGACTCTTTACAGCTGGGCTGAGGGAAGCTTTCCGGAGGTGGTGGCTTTGAAAGAAGCAAAGAATTGTAACAGCAGAAAGGGGAAGATAAGGGATTCCAGGGGAAGAAACCATGTGAGCAAAGATGTGGCTGCATTTGGGGGATGGCTGATCACCTAATTTGATGAGAGCGCACGAGACTTTTGCTAAGAGAGATGATTTTAAGTGGGACACCAATAAGGCATTAAGCCACACTGGATTCCACAGCGAGGCAGAGACTTCCTTCTCAATTCTCCTTAATGGAGAAAAGTCTCAGCTGAGTGCTGGCATATCTTGCAAACACTAACACTCATTAATCTCCCTTTTTAACCCAAATTTTACAGATTCAGATCTTCAAGTGGGCAACCAAGCTCTGGTTGGAACTTCACAACATCGTTTTGTTTTCACTGTCTTTATTTTGACTGTTAGGTTCTATTTCAAACAATGATACTGTTTTTTTTTTTAACTTACAGATAAATTATTTATTTTTATTATTATTTTCCTTTACAGATAAATTTATTAAGGAAAATATAGTTGATTTAAAGGGACAATATTTAGTTACGCATTCAGGTGGTTCACAGCTATGGCAAAAATCACAAAGGTGGTACACTACTGACTGATGTTTAGGATACTCTGGTATAGGGTAAAAAGCAGGTGAGGGAGAATAATGGGGGAATAAGGATGGGAAGGGGGTCAGATCATGGGGGGCCTGAACACCATGGTGAGGAGTGTGGCTTTTAGTCTGTCAATCACGGCAAGACGTTGGCTCAAGAATAGGCAATGATCATGCTCAGAGCTGTTCTTGGCAGGGCTTGCTTGTGGCCTCTGAGTGCAGGGAGAGGGGGAGACTGGAGGCTGGGACAGCACTGGGGAGGCTGTTGAAAGACTCAAGTGAACAGGTAGAGGGCCCTGGACCAAGGTCAAGGTGGTCCAACTGAAAGAGAGGAAGGGCTGTGTTCAAGAGCTCCCATCAGGTTGTGTCATAGGGTGCTATGTGGCTGACCTGGTGAGTACAAACTTCTTTTCAAGAGGCAACAAATTTCAGCCTCTATTCCTCCTCTCCAGTGTGATTTACTAAGAAAATTCAATAGTCTCTGACTGGGCTTTACTGAGGAAAGGTAACAACAGAAGAGGCTAGCCCACCGCAGTCTCTGGGACCTCATTAGGGGGAATTGGAAGTGCAGTCAGAGATGATGGAGAACATAGATTCCCGTCTCCTCATTCTGTGTTTCCCTGCTGGAAAAGTCCGCTGCCGGCTTGACCGCTTGTGGTGATTCATTCGATTCCATTCCATACGATGAACATCTGATTTTCTAAGACCTTCAGCTTCATTTCACTGAACATAAGCCGTTCAAGGATCTTGTCCTGGAGGGCAAAGCAGGTGTGCAGCCTTTCCACTTCTTTTGTGTTCAGGCAGTTGCTCTTGGGTTTGGCCTCACAAGTCTTTGTCTTCTCTTCCTAAACTCCCCATCACCACGAAAAGAGGAAATGTTGGTTAATAGTGATAATCCTTTCCCATGTCAGCTGAGTTACAATCATCTCAATCAATTTCATGACCAGCATCTAAGGAGAGCCTCTTTGCCACATCTTGTGGGTGAGAGAATGGGGCCCAGTGAGGGAAGGTCCCTTTCTCAGCATCACCCAGCCTGCATGAAAGCCCCCAAACTCCCAGGATGCAGAGCTGCCTTTGGTTCACAGGAATAAGTGAAACGGCCGGCTAATCTGCACCCACCGAGGACTTAAAACCCTTAACCCAAATATATGTGTCTCCAGAGCTTGTGCTTTTCTCAACATGCCTCTCTGAGAGTTTAGTCAGGCCTCATAAAATCTCCAAGTCTCAGTGGTCTCATGAAATGCTCTTATCTCTGTCATCTTTATCTGCTCCCTCCCCCACCACTGCATGCAGTTGGTAAGGACACAATTTTTTTTTTTAGCATTCAGCTACAAATTCCTAGTCTTTAAAACCATTTAAGAACTAAATATTTCAGACATGCAAAAAAAGTAAATATTACAACAAATACCCATGATCCCTAAATTATCACAACGGTAACTGAAGTCCTCTGTGGATTCTGCTCCTAGAGTGTTCCCCTCCCTCCCTGAACCTTATCTCAACTGCAATCCTGAATGTGGTATTTATTTTTTCCATGCATTTCTTTACACCACTTTATACCAGTTCTAAGTGGGAGGCTATTTTGCCCTCCCCTGGGGACATTTGGCAATGTCTGGAGAAATATTTGGTTGCCACAATAGGGGTGAGGAGTGCTATTGGAATCTTGTGGGTAGAGGCTAGGGATGCTGCCAAAAATCCAGCATTGCACAGGACAGTCTCTCATCACAAAGACTTATCCAGCCCCAAATGTCAATGGTGCAGAGGCTGAGAAATCCTGCCTTAATGTACTTTCACTATACATCGGCATCCATAAACTAGGCAGGATATTGTTTTGCATGTTTTTTAACTTTACATAAAAGATGTCATAATCTAGGTACATTTCTGCTGTCTTCATCATTCAGTTTTAGAGATTTATCTACGTTATACATGTTTTTAAATTTAACCATTTTAATTTTTCCCACTTTAAAGCACTTGTTACTGTTGTCAAACCATGTTGTCATCAAACATGAAATAGAAGAGTCTGGGATGGGCCCTATTCTTCAGCTGAGGCGACTGAAACTTTGTGAAGGAAGTGCTTTGTCCTCTATCACCCAAGAGGGAGCTGCAGAGCAAGGTCTTAGACCAGAGTCGGATTCCTTAGTCTTGCCGCATTGTCCTGACACTTTCTCTGTCTTCCCACCCCCCAATCTATCTGCGACTATCCCATCACTCTCAGCTGAAGCTAAGGTCCCTCTTGCTCACCTGCTGGGGCTCTGGGGGTGTGGGCTTGAGTTCATACTTGACCAGCCAGTTGCTAAGCAACAGCAGAAGTAATAGGAACCCAAACAAGGCTGGCTTATAGTTGATCAGCCAAGCCATCAGTGCTCCTATGGTGCCTGAGGAAGCAAGTGTCCCGTGGAGATTCCTAAAAAGAGACATTAGCTCCCCCAGCATTGTGGCTTGGAAGCACCCAGGCCCCAAGGCCCTGCCTGTCTCCCATCTAGGACAATTGCCCTCCATGACAGGAGTCATGGCTGCCCCCTCCTCTGAGTCATAACCGGCCCCCACCCCCAGCTGCCACATAACAATAATATTAACTACTCCTAGGTCTTAAGCAGCCACTATGTGCCAGACTTTGACAGGCAGTTCACAAGCATCATCTCATGACATTCTCACAACAGCCAAATGATGTAGGCTTTCATGATACCTCAGTCATTCAACAATACTTCTGGGCCTAGTCGCTGGGGATAAAATGGCCAGCAGTACAGAGCCTCTACCCTTGTAGAGAGGGAGACAGCAAAGAAAAATTATCCAAAACTTGGAAATAAGGCAAAAAGATTTCTGCAAGCTCTTTCACAGTCATATTAGGATATTGTCTAACTGGCCCACTTGTTTGTCACCTGATGCTTTAGGGGAATGAAATTTTATTGGGTTTAATATTTAATATTGATTAGGGTCCTGACTCTGTAAAGTCAGATGGAAAAGTTGCTCCAATTTCACTTGGGTATACGCCAAAAATTGAAAGCAGGGTCTTGAAGAGATACTTGTACACCCACATTCATAGCAGTATTATTCACAATAGCCAAAAGGTGGAAGCAACCCCAAAATCCATCAGCAGATAAATGGATAAGCGAAATGTTGTATATACATACAGTGGGATTAGCCTTAAAAAGGAAGGAAATTCTGCCACGTTACAACATGGATGAACTTTGACGACATTATGCTAAGTGAAATAAGCAAAAAGCAAAAGCTATTTGATTCACTTATATGAGCTATCTAGTGCGGTCAAATTTATAGAGACAGAAAGTAGAATGGTGGTTGGCAAGGGCTGGGAGCAGAGGGGAATGATGAGTTGTTGTCTAGTGGGTACAGAGTTTTACAAGATGAAAAGGGTTCTTTTTTTTTTTTTTTTTTTTCTCCTGTGACGCGGGCCTCTCACTGTTGTGGCCTCTCCCATTGCGGAGCACAGGCTCCAGACGCGCAGGCTCAGCGGCCATGGCTCATGGGCCCAGCTGCTCTGCAGCATGTGGGATCTTCCCGGACTGGGGCACGAACCTGTGTCCCCTGCATCGGCAGGCGGACTCTCAGCCACTGCCCCACCAGGGAAGCCCCAAAAGGGGTTCTTGAGATTGTTTGCAGAACCATGTGAACGGACTTAACACTAGTGAACTGTACACTTAAAAACGGTTAAGATGGTAAATTTTATTCTATATGAATTTTACTACAATTTAAAAAATTAATTTAAAGTGAATTAAATTTTTTAATGAATTAGTTATTTCTGGGAAAAAAATGGGTAAGTTGCAAATGATTTTTGTTTGCAAATAGATGCAAATGAATTCTGTCTGACAGAAAAGATAACCTCAAAGTTTACAGTTTTATGGCCTTGTAGGACATGATTTTTTTTCTTACTCAGCTTTGCAGTCTTATTCCAGCATTCTGTGTTCCACTGACCAGTGACTATATTATCAGTTTCTCATATTTTCCTTTGACCCATCTTTATCATCCTGCTGTTCTCTCAAGAACGAGTTAAGGGACTTCCTTGGTAGTGCAGTAGTTAAGAATCCACCTGGCAATGCAGGGGACACGGGTTCGATCCCTGGTCCGGGAAGATCCCACATGCCGTGGAGCAACTAAGCCCATGCACCACAACTACTGAGCCTGCTCTCTAGAGCCCACAAGCCACAACTCCTGAGCCCACGTGCCAAAACTGCTGAAGCCCGGGTGCCTAGAGCCCGTGCTCTGCAACAAGAGAGGCCACTGCAATGAAGAGTAGCCCCTGCGCTGTAACTAGAGAAAGCCCGTGTGCAGCAACAACACTCAACGCAGCCAAAAATAAATCAATTAATTTTTTTTTAAAGTTAAAAAAACAAAGAATGAATTAAATAAATCTTTGACATGTGCTCACTATTTTGTATGGGAGTTCTTTATGTTCAAATGTAAATTTTAATGATTATATTATTCTAATATATTCAATTAGTTGTCACTTGTTGGGCCTTAGGAACCTGAGATAAACACTTTTTAAAAAAAATAAATTTATTTATCTATTTATTTTGGGCTGCCTTGGGTCTTCGTTGCTGCATGAGGGCTTTCTTTTTAGTGGTAGCGAGCAGACGAGGCTACTCTTCGTTGCGGTGCACAGGCCTCTCCTTAAGGCGGCTTCTCTTGTTGCAGAGCACAGGCTCTAGGCGTGCGGGCTTTAGTAGTTGTGGCACATGGGCTCAGCAGTTGTGGCTCGCGAGTTCTAGAGTGCAAGCCCAGTAGTTGTGGCATACGGGCTTAGTTGCTCCGCGGCATGTGGTATCTTCCCAGACCAGGGCTTGAACCCATGTCCCCTGCATTGGCAGGTGGATTCTTAACGACTTGCACCACCAGGGAAGCCCAACACTTTAAAGTTAAATCTTTGTACACATACTTAAACATTTCTCTAGAATGTTTTCCTGAAAGTGGAATTGCTGGGTCAAAGGATATGCATATTTTTTTAATCTAATTTTGAATTTTATCAAACTACTAAACATGCAAGCCAGTCAGATAGAACTACAGGGTTTAAAACAAACAAGTTTCCATCTCTTATCTCATCCCTTCCCACCCTCACATTCTACGACTCAAACAACCAATTTCAACTCTTTTAGTTATTTCTCCTGGTATTTTTCTTGATATATCTGAGTAGTATGCTTATACTGTTATTTCTGAATTTCTCAATTTTGAAATTATATATTCTTTTCATGATGGAATCTGGGCATTTAGGTCCAATGTAGAACCACCTCCATTCCCACTTTGTCCCCTCTTCTGTAAACCCCTCTCACCCCTCTCCTCCACAGACTTTCTCTTTCTTCCATTCTCCCCATATAATTCTATCCCTTTGGTTAAAACAATATTCATTGCTTATGTTATTATAGACATGTCAGTGTAGTTCACAGCTGAACCATGTGTTGTATTATGATTACACTTTCTTTCTGTTATAGCTTTTAGTTTTCCTGAACTTGTCTCTTTTTTTTCTGTTAGCTTAGTTTAAAAAAAAAATTCAACTTCTTTGATGTAAAATCGACATAAAATAAAATACACCTATTTTACGTGTGTAGTTCAATGAGTTTTGACTAATGTATACACGCCCCAGTCAAGACAGAAAACATTTCCATCACCCCCCAGCAAGTCCTTTCCTGCTCTTTTGAAGTCAACCCCCACCCTCATCCCCGGCAACCACTGATTGGATTCTATCACTAGAGATTAGTTTTACCAGTTCTTGAACTTCATGTATAAATGGAAGTATTTTTTGAGAATTATACTTTGAAGACACAAACTTGTAAAAAAGCGATTACAGCTCTGAGTTCTAGAGGAAATAAGCTTGAAGAACACAAGGCCTGTTCCAGTGTTGGGTCAGTGAAGGATTCCTGGAGGTATTAAAAGAATAAACCGCCACCACCATCAGCGACATTAGAAAGAATTAACCTGGAGTGGAAAGCCGTCATGTATGGGGGGATGGGAGCATAGGCGTGGGAGGAGGTGCGGGTGAGGAAGTGCAAATGGGGAGGAGGTCAGACAGAAGACAGAGCATGAACAAAGCCTCGGAGGCAATGGCAATCCCGTTTGGACTCATATCTGGATTTCCTAACTTTTGCCAATTTTATTACCTCGAAACTCATTTGCTCTCCAAGATTTCCCCAGTCGAAGCAGGACAATTATGAATAGTAAATACGATGATCTACCAGTTACATATCAGTGTTTTCCCCTGTAAACTCTTTGAGAGCAAGAATTTCATAATTAAACCTTTGTCACGTAGTAAGCATTAATAAATATTGGTTGAACTGACGAATGAGTAGGTGAATGAATGAATGAGTGAATGAACGAATGAATTTATGAATACACGCAAGTCCCTGGAGGAAATGGTTGCTCTCGGAGGTACAGTCTGGCCCAGAAGCCCTAGAATGGGGACCGTGCTGGGACCGACCCCGACGGCTAAGGAGACGCTCTAGGAAAGCTTCGTGCAATTTGCCATGGCGCCGCTCTAGCCTCGATGACGCCGCTCTATGGCAGCGGGGAGGGCGGGGCCGTGGGCGTCTCGGGCTTCATTGTTCGGGCGCGGCGGGAGCGCGCGGAGCGCGCTTAGCGCGTGCAGACGCGACGGCGGTTGGCAGCGAGGGTACTGTGTGAAGTGAAGCGAGGCGACTCCGGACTCACGGACCGACAGACCGAGAGGCCCTTACGGCCGTCCGCAGCCAGGCGGCCCGAGATGTTGTCTGGGAAGAAGGCAGCAGCCGCGGCGGCGGCGGCGGCAGCGGCGGCGGCGGCCGGGTCAGAGGCCGGTGCCGGGGCAGCGGGCGGCTCGGAGAACGGCTCTGAGGTGGCCGCGCCGCCCGCGGGCCTGTCCGGCCCTGCCGAAGCCGGGCCGGGGGCGGCCGGGGAGCGCACTCCCCGCAAGAAGGAGCCCCCGCGGGCCTCGCCCCCAGGGGGCCTGGCTGAGCCGCCGGGGTCCGCCGGGCCTCAAGCTGGGCCTGCCGTCGTGCCTGGGTCTGCGACCCCCATGGAAACGGGAATCGCAGAGACTCCGGAGGGGCGACGGACCAGTCGGCGCAAGCGGGCGAAGGTGAGGCCCGACCCCCCGCCCTAGAACCGCAGATCCCGATGCCAAGCTTCCCCGAGGTTGTCCAGCCCGCATTACCCCCCACCCCCGCGAGCCCCGGTCTTGGGCCTTGAGCCCCATGCCCCCCCCGACCTCCCCAGTCACCGACCTCCACCCACCTCTCCACTAGCTGGCCGGGTGAGGTGGGAGAAGGGAAGGTCTTTGCCTGTAGTGAATGCGTCTTCATGCCGGGACCGGGCAGTCCTGGGAAAGGGGGATCTCGGGGAGGGGTATTTACTCATTTACATCTCGTACACCTTTTTATTTTCTTGACTGAGAAAAATGGCTCCCTGACGTGGAGTTATGGTTGGCCTTGCTGGAGACATACATCATTTGTTTGTCCACAGATGTGTCTGGAAGCTGCTCAGCAATATTTATGTGTTTCGGCTGGGAGCACATTGAGGCTGTAGCGTGATGCTAAAGAAATTGCCTTAGCCTTGAAGACCGAAAAAAAGGAACTTTTTTTTTTGAGCCCTTTGCTGTGTGCTAGAGAGTTTTGCTCTTTGTCCTTTTATCCTATCAACGATCTTTTGATGTAGAGTTTTACAAATGAGGAAGCTGATAAAGAGGGTTAATATCAATTAGTCAAGGTGTAAATATACGGCAAGAAAAGGCTTTGTCATAGGACAGTATATACAGACTCACATCTCTGGGTGCCAGATGCTGTGTTCAAAGCATCACCAACTTTTTATTTTTGCTAAACACCAACTGGCAGGTTTTGCTAGCCCCCATTTCAGGAATGAGTAAGCTGAGGCATACAGTTTAAGCAACTTGCCCAGAGTTGCAAAACTAAGTAAGTGGTGGAACTGGAATGTAAGCTCTGCACTTACAATGTGATAAGGTATCATCAGCCTCTGAAACAAAGGACCACATGTGACACCAACAGTGAGCAGGACACTGGGGCAGTAGTAGGGCACAGACTTTAGACGTGGCCCTTTTCTGGAGATTTCATGGTACAGTTGAAAAAACTGGAAGTATATGTACGTATAATTTTAAGCAACTAAATATTTTAAATTATGTAATTTATGCATATTACAAGTTTTCTATCTCTATATAATTTAAGTGGATATACCAAGTCAGTGTGTATGAGGAGCTTCTTGAGTATTGCCCAGATTGAGAGCCTTCAGATTGAATTGCCCAGTTTTGAGAGATCTCTCTCCAAGAATACTTTGCTCCAAGTATAAAGGAGGGAAGTCTTTGTTGGGGGGGAGGGGTGGTTTAACCAACCCATAGGTTGGCAACTCCCAGTTCTCTGAAATGAAATAGAGGGCAGAAGCCCAACTGGGTTTTGATTTAACTATTTGGATAGAAAATTTGGCCAGAAACCAGATGATAAGATTTTTTTTTTTTTTTTAAGAGAATAAGGTGTCTCTTATTTATGCATGCATGCATACCTGCATGCTGGGTCTCTTAGTTGCTGCACACGGGCTCCTTAGTTGTGGCTTGCCAGCTGTTTAGTTGCAGCACACAGGCTCCTTAGTTGTGGCATGCAAACTCTTAGTTGAGGCATGCATGTGGGATCTAATTCCCTGAGCAGGGATCCAACCCAGGCCCCCTGCATTGGGAGCACGGAGTCTTAACCACTGTACCACCAGGGAAGTCCCTCAGATATTTTTTTAAAAAACAGGTTTATTGAGATAATTCACATACCATAAAATTTACCATTTTTGAGTATGTAATTCAGTGATTATTAGCATATTCACAAAGTTGTACAACCAGCACAATATCCTACAGTCAATTGTAGGATATTTTCATCACCCCCAAAAGACACCTGTACCATTAGCAGGCACTCTTCATTCGTCCTTGGCTCCAGCCCCTGGCATTCACTAATCTTTCTGTCACTGTGGATTTGCCTTTTTTGGACATTTTATGTAAATGGAACCATATAATATGTGGCCTTTTGTGTCTGGCTTTAGCATGTTTTCAAGGTTCATCCATGTTGTAGTACTTCCATTTAGTACCTGATAGCTCACTGGCCAAATAATATCCCAGTGTACAAATATACCACATTTTGTTTATCCATTCATCATTTTATAGACATCTCCACTTTTTGGCTATTGTGAATTATGCTGTTGTGAACATTTGTGTACAGTTTTTTGTGTGAACATGTTTTTGGTTCTCTTAGGTATGATACCTAGGAGTGGAGTTGCTGGGTGGTATGGTATCTCTAATTTATAGAGGAGCTGCCACACAGTTTTCCATAGCAGCCACATCATTTTACATTCCCACCAGCAATATTTCAGAGTTCCGATTTCTCTAATCTTATTGACAGTTGATAATGTCTTTTTATTATAGCCATCCTAGTGGGTGTGAAGTGGTATCTCATTGTGGTTTTAATATGTAGGCTAAAAGTGTTGAATTGAGTATCTTCTCTTGTCCTTATTGGCCATTTATATATCTTTTTTGGTGAAATGTCTATTCATAGCTTTGGCTCATCTTTAAATTGTGTTGTCTTTTTATTGTTGAGTAGTTAGAGTTCTGTATATACGGTGATTACAAAAGTTTTAGATTTTGATTTCCAGTTTATTTTTTCTTTTTTCCCTTTTGCTTCTAGTGTTCCATCTAAGAAACCATTGCCTAATCCAGTGTCATAAAGATTTACTCCTATGTTTACTTCTAAGAGTTCTATAGTTTTAGCTCTTGCATTTAGGTCTGTGATCATTTTGGAGTTAATTTTTGTACATGGCATTCTTTTGCATGTGTGTATCCACTTGTCCAGCACAACTTGAAGACTGTTCTCTCCCCTTTGAATGATAGACACCCTTGTTGATTGACCATAAATGTAAGGGTTTATTTTTCCACTCTCAATTCTATCCCATTGATCTATATTTCTGTTCTTATGCCAGTACCACACTGTCCTGATTACTGTAGCTTGGCAATATGTTTTGAAATCGGCAAGTGTGAGTTCTCCAGGTTTGTTGTTTTTCAAAATTGTTTTGGCTATTCTGTATCTCTTGCATTTCCATATAAATTTTAGGATCAGTTTATCAATTTTTGCAAAAAGACAGCTGAAATTCTGATTGGGATTGTGTTGAACCTAGATTAATTTGGGGCTTGCTATAAGACTTCTTTGTAATTCTCCTATGTTTAATTTTCCTTTGTGATTAGCTCTGAAACTCTCAAAAGAAAAATGGGTTACGTGTTTATTTGGTGAGCAACTAGGAAGTAAAGAACTGGGGAAGCTGACCTACGGATTCATAGCTAGTCTTGGGAACCAGAGGAAACAGACCTCAAGGGCTAGAGTATCCATAAAGGAGTAAAATGGAAGCTGAGTCCACTGTAGATAGACCTTGCTTCAAGACCTTGCCTCAAGAGTTTATGCAGGGGATATATCTATATTTTGTAGACTGGGAACTTATTCATTTTGGGGAGGGACACTGTTTTTTTGTTTGTTCTTTTTTTGGCCACACGGTGCATCATATGGTATCTTAGTTCCCCAACCAGGGATTGAACCCATGCCCCCTGCAGTGGAAGCAATAAGTCTTAACCACTGGAGTGCCAGGGAAGTCCCTGGGGGGAACCCTCTTTTTAAAAAAAATTATATATGCATAAACATGTATATAATTATATAAATAAGTAAATATATATATAATTATGTGATCAAAATTAGGTTCAGGGTATTGGAAGGAGTCCATGCAATTGAGGGTCCCTGAGGCTTAAGTTTCATTAGTTTCAGCATAAATTCACCTCTGAATGTCTGCTAACATGGCAAACTATTTAAGGTTTGAAATTGTTAAATTGGGCTGAGACGTTGGGAACACCACACAGCTTAAGGAATGGCGGTCTTGAGCTGGGCCTTGAAAAAGGACAGAATTTTTAAAAGTGTTCTGGAAAAGGATGGACTTCTGGAGTTAATTCATCCTCCTGTGATTCCTTTTCCTCAGAAAAATAAATCCTACCTTGTAACATTATTAGGATTAGATATAATGTAAATAAAATGCTTATTGCAGTGTGTGGCATAAGTAAGTAGGTACCCAGTGATTAAGTACTACTAGGGAAGAAAAGGAAGTGAAAAATGCTTGGAATATAATAGAAAGTGGTTTGAGAAGCAACAGGGAGTCCAGAGTGGACAACTGAATGTTGGGAACAATGGGCAAATGAATTTAATTGGAAATGAGATTCCTCTAGGAGCAAGATAAGTTGGAGGGATCAGTAGTGTAGTAGAGTTGTATCTAGGTTGTAGAGAGCCAAATACTAAATATGTGCTGTCCAGGATGGTAGCCACTAGCCACCTATGGCTATTGAGCACTTACCATGTGGCTAGTAGATTGAGGGAACTGAATTTTTAATTTTAATTTAATCCTAAATAGCCACATGGTAAGTGCTCAATAGCCACAGGTGGCTAGTGCTACCCTATTGGACGCACAGATACAGAACATTTCCATTATGTCAGAAAATTCTGTCAGACAGCATTGCACTAGATTATGAAGTTTAAGTGCTATGAGAATTTAGAGAAGGGAAAGATATATTTGTAAGTTTGGAAGACTTAGGGAGTAATTTGCAGAGGAGGTGGGCCTTGAGTTTTAGGCATTGGATTTACAGAAAAGGTGGGAGTAGCTTTTAGGGAGTTTAGGGATGATTTTGACTAGTGTGTTAGAAAATGATTAGAGGTAAATTTGACTCGTTAGAGCTAGAGAGTTTATATGGTGTTTTGACAGTTTGGGCATTCATTTGTTAAACTATCTGAAAATACAGTGTATTTGGACAATTAATCTGGCACTTGTACCCTAGGTGAATTACAAGGAAGAACTGTTAAAAAACTGGAGCTTCAAGGTGGTTGGGAAGTGAATGAATCACTGTAGCAAGGGTGTGGAAGAGATAGGAGAGGCTAGAGATATAAATTTGAGAGTCACGGGTGTACAGGTAAGAACAAGTACCCTACTGACTCATCTGCCTGTTGGGACACCTTTTTGTACTTGGTTATAAGTAGTTGTAGAACCTCTGAAGTCTCAGAGGATTTTACTTAGGGATAAAAGATTCCCAATCCTTTATGTTCATAGCATCCATTCTTTTTGTCAGGAGAATAATTTTTATTTTTTAGAATTTGTATAATTCTTTCAGATGGTTTTTAAACTTTTTCGTAAGTGGAGAAATCCTTTTTTACAAAATATAATTTTATGCACACTCCCAAAATAAAATACTACTTGCCTGTTTTATATGAAGTTTAAATTTATAACATTTATTTTAGTTGTCAGTCTTTGAGACAATGAGGCTGTTTTGGTAGAGCCAAATTTGGGAGTGGAGGTTAAGCATAATAGTTGCAGCCTCAATAATTTCTGTATTTTGTTTATGAAGTATTGTACTGATTGACAAGTAGTGGTATTGCAAAAGGTTGTTTCCTTTGTTTTTAGCTTGTCTTGCCATCTCAGGACACTCTCTCAGTTGAACAGAGATGGCAGAAGAAATTTTATTCTTCAGTCTACCCAAAATTGAGTTACCTAAGTAGTACAACTTCATGTGTTGGTGATCTCTAAAGGGTTATGGTTTGGTTTAACACATATGAGTACTCATGTTAAAAATACATTTTAAAATTAGTAAATGAAATCCCCCCAAAATCCAAGGGTTCTGTGGAACACAGTTCTTTTCCTGTTGTTGTTAAATACTACCTTAGATATTCTTACTCCTATCTCTAGGTATTTTTCTGATCTCATTTTTTTCTTGAAAGCTAAGAACTCTAGACCAGCCTCTTCCAAGTGTATTCCTTGTTAGTAGTTATTACATGAAAACATTGGATTAAACAATATTAAAAAAGATTGTTGGGCTTCCCGGGTGGTGCAGTGGTGGAGAATCTCCCTGCCAATGGGGGACACAGGGGTTCGATCCCTGGTCCGGGAAGATCCCACATGCCACAGAACAACT